GTGGTGGTGGTGGTGGTAGTTGTATTACTTACATCACCTTCGTGGTTACTTGTTGATGCACTCTCTGCAGATGAAGTGGCAGCGTTGCTCACATTGTTTGCAGCATCTGAACCCACTGGATTATCCACAGTTGAACTGTTAGAAGGAGTATCACCTGTATTTTGGGGTGTGGGAGCTGAAGGTTCTTCTAAGTGCGAACCACCAGCAGTTTCTTCTCTTGATGGTGTAGTGCTGCTTGCATTAGTTTGGGAAACAGATGTATCGGGCTTTTTGCTATCTCCAGCGGGAGGACGCTGTTCCTCATTGACAGTATTTTTTAATTGTTCATCTTGCTCCTGCTCTTTTTTGATGGGTTCCGCTTCCTTATTATTGCTGACACTTCGTTCAGATGCACGATCATCCAAATTATTTTCTGTATCCTGATCTCTTAACGTCTCTGCCAATTGATCAGCTTGTCCTTGACCAGAAGAACTCGATACCACAGACATTTGATCCGGAAGTCCAGGTTCGCGTCGGGGACCTTGAGTAGCAGTAGCATGACCGGTAGAACCCTGTTCACTTCTTCCACCTGAAGGACCAGCAGCAGCACTGGACACGTTTGTTTTCGCCTTTTCCGCTTCGGGTTTAGCACAAGTACGTCCATCATTAGCATCAGGAGAACAAGACGTCTCAGCACTCTCAGATGGACAATTAACGTCACTTCCCTCACCAGCAGGACAAGAAGCTGTAGGACCTGGGGTACGTTTAATAACTCCACCACCGTCTTCCCCTGCACCTTGTCCAGTAGATGCAGATACGTCAGTCGCCACCCACACACAAACAATGCTAAACAGCAAAATAATAGAAAAAAAAGTACGACACAGCATCATCAGAGCTAAAAACAGTTTTTCTTGAATTGGACGAATTAAACTGCATAAACAAGAAAAAAACGAGAAAAAAAAACCGTAAATACAATTGTAACAGAGTGTAAAAAAAAGATTAGAGCTAAGGAAACCCAGCAGTCAAAATGCATTACAAACAATAAAAAGAAGAATAAATACACCACATAAACCAAAGCCCAAGTAAAACAAAAAAAAGAAAATAAATAGCACAAAACAAACAATCCACAGAACTGTGCGTATTTTTAAATAAATATGCAATTATAAATATAAATTTATCTATTATTATTATTTCCTTTTTCCACTACAAAACGCAGTCATTCATCATTATCACAGTGCAAGCCCAGGTGCACACACAGAGAGTCTCCAAGAACACACACACACAATGGAGCAGTAGCAATAATAATTATTATTATAGGATAAATATAGAGAGCAAAAACACACAGAGAGCAAAAACAACAAATTAACATTAAGAAACAAAAAAAAGAATATAATCTCAACAGGTGAAAGATTAGTTAGACTGTAGGGATTGCATGCAAAAAAGAAAAGAAAACAAAGGATGACCTGAGTCACACCACCACACCATTACAATCAGCACACAAGAATACAGGCCAGTGTAACCACAATCAGTAGTGGTACACGCACCCACACAGAACTGCTGATACTGCTGCTGCTGTCTGCATCACCCCTCAAATTTGGCATTGTGGTGTTATTGCTGATTTCAGGGACAGGAGG